CTTTTCCTCCTCCTCCTCCTCCTCCTCCTCTTCATTATCCTCCTTGTTTTCCAACTCCCCAAACCGTCCTCCTGTTCGTCCTCGTCGTCCCACGTTGTCCTTCCAACATTATTATTCTACTCCGCTTCATCCTCATCAACATTCGTGATTCGTGTGTGATCCGACTCTGCCGCATGGCCGACCGATAGCCGGCCAATCCAAATCCCTCCGTCCTATCTGGCAACCGCGCTGCGAAGTCGACATTTCACTGTCAGCATGCACAGTACATCGCCCATGTTGCGCAATGCGTGGCATGCGCGGGACTGGGCGCAGATCCCGCGAGAAAGGCCGACATGTGCCCTCGCATCGGCGCCGCGCTCGTTTTCTAAAGAATTGAACTCCTGTTTCGGCGTGGCGCATATTTGTCGTGCGCCATGTCGTCGATGCGCGGACGGACGTAAATGTCGTTTCCACCTGGCGCCGCGCAGAATCCGCCTCGGCGTAGCGCATGTTGTTCACTTGCCCCTTCTTGCGTTTCCCGCGCGAGCGTGCGATGGGTGGCCCTCGCCCTAGTTCCGTGCGCATTTCGCTGGGAAATGGCGTTCCCGCGCGAACGCGGCGCATGGTTCGTTCGCCGAACCGCACGAGGGCGATAGTGGCGACGGAGCCGCACGAGAACGGGCAACATGCCGACCTCGCGCGAGCGACACGCGCGCGCCGCTAGTGAGTAGAAGAGTGGCAATGTTGTGTCAGCGCGCGCGTGCTTCATCTTCGCAGCGTTCATTGAAGTTTTGCCGTTCCCGCCCCTGCGTGGCTCGCGTAGTTTTCCCTTCGCCAAGCCGTCGGAAGTGGGGCCGCGCGCAAATGTTGTCCGTTCGCTCGGTCGGAACGCTCTCCAATCCCAATGTCAGACTGTCCCACCGTTGATTATGATGTTGTGGGAGAGTGGGTATGGGCGGGGCCCTCTGACTCGCTCGGCTTGCTGGCTGGCTGAGTATATCATCCTCCTACTCCCCAACTGTCCTATTCATCCTCGTCTATCATTCCTCCACTCAGATTCCTCATTCCTCCCCTCCCTCAGATATCCGTCTTCCTCCCCATGGGCAGCCCTTTCTCTCCTCAGTAGTACGCCCCTCCGCTGTGATATGGACGCGCGCGGCACGATAGTTTTTGTCAAATCCTCCGCAAGCGAATGCGCAGCTCTGAAGCCAAACGCACCAACATCCGAACCGACATGGCAGCGGGAGGAAAAGCGAGACGCAAGCAACCGCAACGGCAACAGACCAGAGCGAGTTGAAGCGAGGCGGCAGGCGGGCGGAGGGAGCGAGGGAAGTGCTACGTATCACGTTCCTCCTGAGCGAGTCTCGAGGCGCTAGCAGCGGACGAGAGCGTCGGGCATATAGACTGACACCCGCTTCTTTATCGAAATAAATCGGCGGCGGCGGGGGCGCCGCGCTCGGAACTTCTCCTTCGGCAGATAAGCGGCCTGCCACGGCATGCAGCAGGAGGCTTCTGAGGCATTACTGGATGAGCTGCACAAGCCTGCCCTTCAAGGAATTTTCCCTCTGCTAGGCGGAAGGCGCTTGGCGCGGGCATTTTTCCACTGAGAGATAAAGTAAAAGACCAATCAACGAGGTAATTCACGGCCACAGAAAACTCCGCACGCTGCGAGAAGCTTCTCGACATGCGGAATAACATCTAGGTCATTGACCGGGTGCAAGATCTCTGGCAACGCTGACTTACGCCGCAATCTCTAGTTGGGCGGTACATCTTTGACAATGAGAACTTACGCAAACCAACTGCAGAAACAAACAACAGCGATCACAGCACATAGCGATTGATTGGCTCACTGACGCGATAGTATCGGTCTTGCTCGCACTGGGTCACTGCTGGAAGTGCCTCCAGCGGTTACTCAGATCCCACTTCAGAGTAAGATGCACCACCGAAAAATCAACGCATGGACTCTGTAATTGCGACGGAGCCACGAAGCACGTTTCTTGCACGTCCTGCCGGTCACGTGAACACTGCGGGGGTTGCACCCGACCCAAATCTCGCGGCGCGCAGCCCCACGGGCGTTCATCTCGAGCGGCGCCACAGCGGGTGTGGATCCACTCCATGATGCCACACTCGTACATGATGTACTCGCAGCCGTTGAGATTCCACTCGGCGAACTCGGCGCTTGCTTCCCGCCCCCTGGCGCGGACGCCGCGGGCAGCGAAACCAGCGGCGAAACAAACAGCAACGCTGGATGCCCATGCACTGGACGCCTGCGAACCGCTGCCGACATCTTCGGCAGGCGGCATATCAACGCCGTCATCTTGGTCGTCATCATCGTGGATGGTGCCCTGCCCTGGCACGTTGTTGCGTCTGCCGAGACGGCGCCCGCCCCTGCCTGGACGCCCCCCCCCCCCGCCCGCTGCATCCTCGGACTCGACCGCTGCGCCCCACGAACAACCACTCGCTGCCAGAAACACTCTGTCCGATGGCCACGCCTAGCGACGAGGCAAACCAAGTCACGCAACACACATGCCAAGGGAAAATGAACTCCACGGGCGGCG